CCTATGACCAGCAATGGACAATTGCTTGCTAATAAAGTTAAAGAAAAATATTTACAAATTATTAAAAACTCATGTTCAAACCATGTAGTTATGGAGTAAGTGTATTCACTGTCCCAAATCGTTTCTTGGTTGTCGTAAGCGACGTCAGAAAGTTAAAACAGGAGAAAGGCAGCAGCACCTTCCTGATAACAGCGAAAGTAATAAAAACTGATTTTAGCAACTCGCCTGCCAAGCGTGGCAACTATGGCAAAATCCTCCCAATGAGGCAATCTTTGGCGGAACGTACGTCCAGCATTGGAATTTTATAGGTGGTTATGATTTAAAAACGTCGTGTTAACAATAACATAACTTATTACTTTTGTTAAAAATAACTGTCTAGTTGTAACTATTGTTTACTATAAAATTATTGAAGACTATTTCATATCATAAGCACGCTCGCAATCACACGTTAGCATTGCATGTCCTGCAGCCACAACGGCTTTAAAGCAAATCAATGTTTAATGCAAAATCCAATCTCTTCCAGATTTATAATATTATTTAACAGAACTGTAGGCTTAGATTTTTTATACAAATAACATAATATTAATAATGTATGATCTAATTCCGGTCACGCCGGCCAGTTCAACGGTGGCCAGCCAACTCCGCAGGACAGGATTATAATGCCCGTATGTATATACGCAAGCACAAATCTATTTCCTCACTCTCATAGTCCGATGGGATGGCAATTCCACACTTACCATTTTGAAAACTATGTGCTCGTTTATCAGAGTTTCATTCAGCAATTTTCATAGGGCAGCTTTTAGTGTTGCCCAAATGCAAGAACAAGACGAGACTTAGCCAGTCTTGGTCTTGGTCTTGCGCCAGTACATCTGATCTTTTTCTTGGTCGTGGTGTTGCGCTCTCAGTCTTGTTTTTGGTCTTGGTCTTGCAGCAAGAGTCTCGCAAGTCTCGCAATTACCTATTAGCTTATTGTTATTTATTAAGCGTTACTTTAGATCTTAGAAAAACTTAACAGAGTAGGCACATTTTGAGCTTGAATTAACATAGCCATAGAAAGACCAAGCAAATTAATAAATGTCTAAACATTTAATGAGAAATTCGAAAAATCAACTAATACCGGGTGGGGTTTGAACCCACGACCTAAGCGATCCGTGCCGATGCTCTAGCCAACTGAGCTGTCTACCAAGTCTCACGGCCACGGGAGTTAGTCTGTTTCTTAATAAACGTTTACATTTAATAAGCTTACATGTGCTAAAACTAAGTCAAAACATATAAAAAACAAATTAATGACATTAACTTGACTGTATTATAAAGAACATTATCTGTCTAGGAAGAGATTGATAGAACCTTATATGAAATGGAATAAAAGAGTTATACAATTTACCATTTATTTAAATAAAAAAATAAAATACAATACAAATTAAACTACATAACAGTACACAACAGCTTTGACATTACTGTTACTTTATATTAATTCTTTTGACCAAGAATTAATACAAAGTAACCATCTGGTTGACTCATCACTTAACCTATTTCTATGTATTAAACAATGTAATAGTATTTGTAACATAATTAACGCACATCCTGGAAATAGTTTGTTCAGAATCGTTCACTGAATCGATTCCTATCATTTTTAATATAGGTAATTTTTTATCGCAAAAATAATTAAAACTACGTAAATTGCAGTCACACTAAATCTGTATAGTCAAAACAAACTGAAATGGCCCGTTACTTAAGGCACGGTAATATTATCTATACAGTATTGTAACTCGGCCGTACCTTTCAAATAAATGCCTACAGCCGTGCGGCACGTAAACATGTGATAGGGTTACCTGCCTCCAGCATTTTTACATTTGCCTACTTTGTCTTTTAGTTTTATGATTGTAAATATACTTTTTATATAAACAAATAAAATAGGTACTTTGTGAATTTAATAGGAAGTGTTCAATAAAAATGCGTGTCGTTTTTTGATTGGTAGATTTAATTAAAAAACCGTGTTTATGTTTGAATAACAAATCGGTTAAATAAATTTTCGACCGAAAAATATTTGCACCTCGGCTGAGAATTACGAAATGCTTTATTATTAGATTTTTAAATACAAAAAATCCGCTTTCCAATATAAAGCTAAAAATAATATAAATTAAAAATTGTTTTGGGAAACATGGACAACGTGGAGAAAAGGAATATCTTTTAATTGGTTATAGATACCTGCAGCTACTTTACAATTTATATGTTTGTTTTTAAATGAAGTTCAGATTTATTATTTCTTTATTTCTATTCTATTATTTGTTTCCTCCATTTTTTTATATATTTCACAAAATCATGACTGCGGCACAGTCTCGACTGTCTGCATGCCGAGCGCATGCCGAGATCGAGGCGCGTAGGCATAGCTCTCGCTTCGTCCGTTTGTATGAAGTTGGAATACTGTATAGATAATATTACCGTGCTTAAGGCAATAAGACTGCATAAGAGTGCATTTTTATTTGTATTATTACTAATTCTGTCGTTCAATAAAAGTAAAGAAAAGTGAACTTTATTTCAAGCACGTTAAAGTCTTTGCGTTCGTGGATTTGTACTGTGACCACATTCTTTAAGGAATTAGTATAACTAATTTGATAAATAATCAGTGCATAAAAATTTTTAACTAAAAATTCAGTGTATGTATTATGATTATAACATAATATACTAATTGAAGTGTCTGAGGCCGCGATCTTTTAACAAAAGCATTAGGAATTTTTAGAATTTATAGCTTAAAAAATTGTAGGTAATTACCTACGAATTTGAAATAACTTTCATGTTGATATTTTCAACTTTCTTTCTCCAGTCAAAAATATTATATTTCTTGACTGGAGAAAGAAAAATAAAAGCTTACAGCCTCTACACATCCTGGGTAAGAATCCCGCACGGAACAAGTATTTTGTATAGCCTACAAATAATTGTTCCGGGTCTGGAGGTTTGTCCTTGTGCAATTTATGTTTGTAAACTGCCCCCGCGATACAGGAGAAAATCCTAGTGTAGGGGAAACGTTTAAAAAAAATTAAAAGGCGTCGGGAAGTGACTAGAGACGGGTCGTACAGTCGTACAACTTGCTACTTGCAAAATCTCGATTTAACTCGTAGGGGAGAGCGGAGCTGTAAGTTCCGATTTTCAATTATTTTTATGAAGTTTTATCATAAAAACGACGGGTTTTAATTTTCAACATGTAAAATATTGAACAGTTGTTTATCGTTTTCTATAATAAATATAATTATAGAATCAGGCGTTACTTTGCGGAAATCCATTATAATAAATAATTTATTACTTTGCAACCTTCCGCTAACTAATTACAGTGATGTGTCTTACCTAGATTGAAGAGCACCTCCCGCCCTCCCTCAATTGCATACACTAACTCCGTCACCACTAGTCCCAGCACCACTACTCCCAACACCACTACTCCCAACACCACTACTCCCGGCACCACTACTTCCAACACCACTATTCCAGGTAAGACACACCATCGACGACAATACGAAACGTGTTTCGCCTCTATACGAGGCATCTTTTCTACTTAGCGGTCAGTCGGGGTAGAGTCTACATTACTTGAAGATATGTTTTTTAAGATTAACATTGTCGCACATTTAGTTTCAGCTTTACACACACACACACACACACACACACACACACACACACACACACAAGCACTCGCAAGCGCGCGCACACACACACACACACACACACACACACGCACGCACGCACGCACGCACGCACGCACGCACGCACGCACGCACGCGCGCGCGCACGCACGCACGCACGCACGCACGCACGCACGAACGCGCGCGCGCACGCACGCACGCACACGCACAAGCACACGCACACGCACACGCACACGCACACGCACACGCACACGCACACGCACACGCACATATATATTACATATAATGTGATTTATGGGAAACAGTTACACGTACGCGTGCTCCCTTATTCTTTTATCTTATTTATTTTATCTTGCGTCGCCAACAAATAGACTCTTTGGTTATAGAACAAATGAAAATACATTTATAATTAATTTTTTTCATTAATAGATATTACCAGTTTTAAATTATATAAATATTAAATTTTACAATAATTTGTCGTCTTTTCTATATGATTATGAAGTTGTGTCAATAAGGCGCCTGCAGGCATCTAGATGCAATGTCGGCTGGTATAACCGAGATTCTTGGCTTGAATCCATCTTCATCAGCCTCGTAATTCACCACCTGGAAAGAACAGAATACATGGCATAAAAATATATTAAGTTTACCGAGTTTTCATTATGTTTATGTAGTTTTATCATAGAACCGACGGGTTTTAATTTTCAACATGTAAAATTTTGAACAGTTGTTTATCGGTTTCTAGACTAAATATAATTATAGAATCAGGCGTTACTCTGCGGAAATCCATTATAATAAATAATTTATTACTTTGCAACCTTCCGCTAACTAATTACAGTGATGTGTCTTACCTAGATTGAAGAGCACCTCCCGCCCTCCCTCAATTGCATACACTAACTCCGTCACCACTAGTCCCAGCACCACTACTCCCAACACCACTACTCCCAACACCACTACTCCCGGCACCACTACTTCCAACACCACTATTCCAGGTAAGACACCATCATCGACGACAATACGAAACGTGTTTCGCCTCTATACGAGGCATCTTATCTACTTAGCGGTCAGTCGGGGTAGAGTCTACATTACCTGAAGATGTTTTTTAACATTGTCCCACATTTCGTTTATAATTACATATACACACACACACACACACACACACACACACACACACAATGAGCAATATATATATACATATAATGCGACTTATGGGAAACAGTTACACGTACGCGTGCTCCTTTATTCTTTTATCTTATTTATTTTATCGTGCGTCGCCAACAAATATACTCTTTGGTTATAGAACAAATGAAAACACATTTATAATTAATTTATTTCATTAATAGATATTACCAGTTTTAAATTATATAAATACTAAATTTTACAATAATTTGTCGTCTTTTCTATATGATTATGAAGTTGTGTCAATAAGGCGCCTGCGCCGCTAGATGCAATGTCGGCTGGTATAACCGAGATTCTTGGCTTGAATCCATCTTCATCAGCCTCGTAATTTACCACCTGGAAAGAACAGAATACATGGCATAAAAATATATTAATTTTACCACGTTTTCATCATGTCACTTTCTAGTTTTTCTGCCGTTCCGGGTCAATTTTGCAAATCAAATTTCGAACACTTCCCGATGGGCTAGGGACTTGAAATTTTGATCATAGCTCAGAATCCGAAATTGTAGGTGAAAAACGTGGTATGTTAATTTTTTAGGACAAAGTTTAAAAACATATACTTGTTTGTACACTTTCGTTTGTTGACAAATTATAGCAACTAGCTACTGTAGTCCAAGGATAAAAAGTAAGAGATCAAAAACAGAAACAGCAACTTTTTTATTTAATATAGATTATAAATAATACTTATTGAAAGTCACTTTTTTTAATTTACCACTGATTCGGAAAAAAACCTCTGTCCTGGGAAGAACCAGCAAAAAAGCGGGATTTTTTTAAATAACAGCTTGCAGTCATGTATGTTACAATTAACAACTCAATAAATTAGAAAGAGCTTGGTAGCGATCACTCTACCCAGGGGATACTATCATCCCTATCTGAAGTGTACAAGAGGTGTAGAGAAATCTAGAAGAAACACAGTATAATAACAGGCCATGAGGTATTCCATCTTAGTCCTCATTGATGCCAATTCTCTATTTATGTTGGTTGCGGATGAACACCTGACTGCTGCCACGTTCCATCAGGTGGACTGTAAGTTTGATGTTCAATCAATTTTTCTATAGAATAATGGTGACAAACGAGCACACGTTCCACCTGATGGCAAGTGGGGGCTGTGGCCCATAGACATATACATCTGTATCCTATGATGAATCGTAATGCAGATGCATTGTCACTCCTAAGGACTAAGATGGAATGTCTTGTTCCCAGTAAAGAAAGAATTAACATTCACAACCACTTACAACGCTGACTGTCTTACTATAAAGTTAAAGTAACAGCCTACATACGTCCTACGTAGTGGGACGTATACAGGCTGTAAGAAAAATGAGAGAACTCTACACGTCTTCGAAATATTTTTTTTGTTTCTCAGACATGCAGGTTTCCTCACTATGTTTTCCTTCATCGTGGAGCACGTGGTAAATCAACGCTTAAAATTGCTCGCGTACTGTGAAAATTTATATATTGTATTTCAGTGTATCTTACTACACTAAAATACAATAGTATTCGCATTTGTGTTTGCAGAAATAGATAGGTGGAATTTACTCGAGTTCCAAAGCAGTAGAGCTGATGAAGATGATTTCAACGTACCTGTTTGGTTTCATCAGGAAGTACGACAAAGTACGTCCCTTCTGCTTTATCGTCCTGCCGGTTTTCCGCGTGGCCAGTCACTTCCGCTCTCGAAGTCGCTCACTTTGTAGGAGGACTCGTAGTTCGCTGGTTCCTGTGTATTTTGATTAGTAAGTTTGAATAATAGAACGTGTAGTAGCGTGTAAGAATATCCAGTACCCCATATCGTCCCGCGGGTGTCGCAAGAGGTGAGACAGAGAAATACAAAGGCAACAGCGTCTTCCTAATAACGACTAGAAAATAAAATAAACTGCGGTTACCAACCTGCCCACCAAGCGTGGCAACTGTGGCAGATATCCCCCTTATCAGGTAACCTATGGAGTGACCCCCCCCCCGGGTATGTTCAGCAGTGGTCTTCGATAGTCTGTATTGAATGAATATAATTAATGGCATTGATACATTTAGTAGTATTTATCAATTCCCTTAAGTTGCGTGTTTGTGCAAAATGCAGCGCTAGTCGTTCTTTGTGACGTTTTAGGAGCTATCTTCTTATTTTTTAAGGAGTAAATACTTGATGAATCTTCCTACAACTAAACCACAGAAATGCGAATTAATTATCAATAATAAAAAATTATTGATGACATACATCTCCTCATAAAGTAAACATTATTACACGTCTCATAAGCGAAGCGTTGAGGTTGTGCTCTACTCTTACCTAATGGTGTTAAGTAAAGTCGCTTAATACGTAAGTAACATCATGTATTTTATTAACTGCATAAAATATCATAAATCTAAACAAGGTTATAGATATTCATAATAATGACAATGTACATTTTAGACACAAAAATAACAAGGTATAACAATAATTATTATTACTCACAATTTATCTTCCGTGTACTTATTCTCTACTCAACAGTTTTAGTAAGACTGCCGCCTAGGAGTGGTCGTTACGAAACGTAACTAGTTACTGAAACTATCTATTCACACAATAGCGAGTAGCGGGTTATTGCAGTGCAACGAAACTATCTATTACAGTAGACGTTTTACTCAGTAACACGATTCACGTTTCACGAATCACGAACAAGCGATCACTAACAAAACGTTTATTCGGCTATTTTCGCGACGCGTCGGCGACGTCTTCGGCTGTTGAAGTAGAAGCACATGAGTAAAAAAACCGACTTTTTACGCTGTGGTAGAAGTACCACCGGTTGTCGAAAGTCGAGTGAGCGCGTGTGCTTTTGCATTTGACCTATGACTCTATTTCCTTCGTATAGATGCGATATTAAAAATGAGAAAGTAAGTGTACATGTTTTTAACAAAAAATAGTTCAAATACCATAATTTAAGTGGCCTTGGCCCGGTTTACATTAGTCTTTTGTTTAAGTTTAATGACACGGTTTGTTTTTACTTTTTAGGCGCGTTTGTTTCCTTTTTTGTGCAACAATAATAATATTTTTAGTAAAATAAAAACTAAATATCATTGTATATATTAGTGTTGATAATAATAATTGTACAGTAATTAGTGTAAATAACTAAGTGTAAAAATAATACTAAAACTTTATGTGATTGTTATCAAAAATGTCTCGAAGTAATGCCAGTGTACTTCGAAGTGATATTTTTATCAAACCGTGCGAACTGATTTAACAAATAAATAAATTTAACCATTAACACCATGTCTAATTCTATACGAAACGGTAACAACGGTCGCAACGTTTTGCAATTGAACACGTCGTGAAACACTCTATTGAAGCCGCTATTAAAATAGAATGTTTCCAAACCCTCTATTAAAATAGAGTGTTTCAAAAGCCGCTATTGATATTCGATAGATAGATTCGTTTCGTTACTCAAAGAAGCCGCTACTACCCACCGCTACTGCCGCCGCTCGTCGCTGCCGCTTGTCGCTGCCGCTCAAACCGACGACATCTGTCTTTTATAGGCTTGTAATTTAACAGTGCTAAACTACAGATGGCGTTGCTTGTGTGGTTTCCGTTACAAGTTTTTATAAAATTGGATATTAAGCCGTAAGTTTTTACATTATAAAACATTATTTATATTTCTTATAATTATTTTAAACAGTTTTACATTTTTGCTATAAATATAAGCAAAAATAAATAACTAGCCGCAGACTTTATAGGATGAAAATAATTAATTACCCACCATGTTAGTTACAACAATATAAATTATTAAAATACGCTAACAATGGAAATCCAGTAATTTACTGAGCTAAAAATGTCTTCATTTTTTAACTACCGCACTTTAAGAATAATAAAAATACACATATATCGAGAAAAATCACTCGTTTTCATGTTTCTATTATTTTTAAAAGTAATTTTTTGTATTTAGTGTAAAAACAAACTGATTGAAGAAAATTATCAAGGGTGCCCGGAAGTCTGTATTAATCGTAGTCGTTAGAATTAATGTATCAAAATAATTCTTTTTTATTAGATTTAGAATCTCAACGCACAGGTTCCTTTAAAAATTTTTCTCGTTAATTTAATTATTTTTATGAAAATGCTAAAAACAACTGGTACTTGTCTACAAAAAAATATTCTCATGGATCTCTTCTTTCGTCTCAAATATAGAAAAAGAGATATTTTTCTTCAAATGAGATTATAAGGCGTGCAATTTTGGATTTTCCAAACTTTTTTATTTTACGATTGCCACTAATGGATAGGCAATTTATTAATGAACATTTTGATCTATAAAATTTTTTCAAAGGACAAAAATTCGATTTTATAAAGAAAATATTTTAAAGTTTGGGCGTATTTCTTACGCGATATATTGTAACGAGAGCGCGTGGAACGTTTTGCATCAATCGCTCAAGGTCGTTCGCTAGAAGGAGCACCTTAATTGGCCTCCCCTTTAGATTGTCTTGTAGGCTTTTGCTATAGTCGCCACGTTTGAAAGGCGGGATAGCAAAAGAAAATGCTGCTGCCTATATCCTGTTTCAGTTTCCGTCTATCCCCACTTACACACCTACGGGATGAGATGGGGTAGCGGATTTTCTTACGCCGCTGTTTAACGCTTCGATATCCTTGTGCTTGCTTACTTGTAATATTTCGTTTACTTGAATTTGTAGTTTTTACCTGATTAAGCAATTCTAAAGAATTTCTTGCATAGTTCTCGTAGCTCCGATCAGAGTATCCGTCGAGGTTTTTTGAAGCCCCGTACTGCGGCGAGGGCACGGCGGTACGAGATGATGGTGCGCCGTCTTCTCGGGATTGTGATCTGTTAAACCCATGTTGAATGTTATCTCTTGTGTACTGAACGGGTTTATTAAGAATATTTTTTTGGGGTAGGGTGATAAACGAGCACACAGACCAACTGATACTAAGTGGTTGCTGTGGCCCATAGACATCTACATCTACCCTCGATTATGAATAAAAATGCAGATGCGGTGTCACCCGTAAGGACTAATATGGAATGCCTCGTTTCCAGTAAAAAGGGTCTCCGGTTCTACACTCACCATACGAAACACAGTAGCATTAAGCTACTATTTTACGCTGGTAATCTGTGAGAGCGTGGTCCTTCCCCGGTCGAGCCGACACATTCGTGCTACAACTATACCACTAATATAACTGCAGCATGGCTCTACCACGTACAAAAACACTCAACAGAAGGTTTCTGCCATGCATATAGACTCACTGTACAATACGTTTTATTTTACTATAGTAAACCAGTGCTAGACTAACTACCCCGATGGTAAAAGATAAAGAATGTTAAAGCGCAATGATTTTGCTTAAAAGACTCCTACATTTTAAACGAATGACTATTATATTCATTCCTGTACGCATAACGAACGGCGAAGAAAACTATTTACATGATGCTTTATTATTATACCTGAACCTAGAGCAGAAATTCAGAGTTATGCTTTCGTCTAATACATTGAACTGTGATACTAGTCTATTTTTATGTTGTAGAGCCACAACTATAACATACCTGCATATGTTATAGTTGTGACACGAATGGATCGGCTCGACCGGGGCAGGACCACGCTCTGGATACGCTTATCGTATGTTGAGTGTGGAGAACCAGAGACCCTTTTTACTGGAAAGCAGGCATTCCATCATAGTCTTCAGGTGTGACAACGCATTTGCTCATTTTGATTCTTAATTGTGGATTAATGTGGATGTCTATGGGCCACAGCATCCACTTACCATCAGGTGGACTGTGTGCTCGTTTGTCAACAAATGCTATAAAATAAACAGTCTTTCTAATATATTTTTTTAATTCATTATAGCATATACAACGGTCAAAGAAAGTCTTATGTTTTTTTCACCCTATGACAAGGGTCAAAGAAACATAAGAACCTTTATAGACAAGGGAAGCATATTATTTATTTATTTTTCACAAATCAACGCTGTATAGTGTAGCCAGATAGTCTATACGTGGTGAAGCCACGCTGCAGCTATACTATGGTTGTAGCACGAATGGGTCGGCTCGACCGGGGAAGGACAACGCTCTCACAGAATACCTGTAAAATAGAGCTTAATGCTGTGTGTTTCGTATGGTGTAGAGAAGTGTAGAGATCCGGAGACCGTTTTTTACTGGAAATGAGGCATTCCATTTTAGTCTTCTGGTGTGACAACGCATTTGCGTTTTGATTCTTAATTGAGGATAAATGTAGATGTCTATGGGCCACAGCATCCACTTACCATCAGGTGGACTGTGTGCTCGTTTGTCACCCTTATCCTATAAAAAAGCGACTATCTAGTCACAGTATCAAATATGTAACCCTTGAGCTACCATGGACGGAATACTTATAACCATGTATTAAATACATTATACATACCTAGCTGATGGATAAGATGATGCAAGGGTGCTTGATTTCAAAGCTGCTCCTGTTTCTGGCTCACTGCCTCCATTAGGTCTGTTGTACGTTGTCGACAACACACCTGATTCACCATAATATGCATCAGCATTTCTAGCTTCAGGTGCACTATACTGAGTCGCCAGAGAGTCAACTGGTGTTCCATAAACTTGGGAAGGACTGTTTCTTGATGATTTGGCGAGACTTTGTGTTCCAAATGAGAAATCTTCTAAAGTCCTGTGCGCTTGCTGTGTATTAGATCTTGAAGAAGGTAAATATTCCTGTGATACGGAGCCAGAACGCAATTGGCTACTACGAGATTTGGGCACACCGTACTTTCGAACCGGCGAAGAGCTTCTAGTATTCGAAAAGTCACTGTTTCTTACGAATGGAGCATTGTATTCTTCAACATTCGTTGGTTGGAATTCAAGGGCACCGTATTGTGTGGTTGGAGACGATCTGAGTGATGGAGCACTGTATACGAAGGAGACGTTCTTACAGCACCGTACCGTTGAGAGATTCCTGTTTTTGAATTAACCACCGAAAAACTCTGTCTCAAAGAGCTAAGAGCGTCGTACTCTTGTGAGTGACGAACTGACGGTGCATACTCCTGTGATAATTTACTCCCAAATTCTGTACCACTGCGCAAGTTGGGAGTTCCATTTTCCTGAGATAATCCGCCACGGAAGCTAGTAGATACATATTCTTGAGAAATTCCCCTAGTTCGGTCCAAGATATTGGTCAGGTCAGAGATGGTGTTAGTAAATGCTTTGGAGCCTCGTACAGACGATTCTGGTAAGTCCGGTAAATATTGTTGAGGAGACTCTCCGTGACCTGATCGGGCTGCTGCTAAGTAAGTATCCCTAAAATTTAGTAAGGCAAACATAACTAGTTATGTATATTCCTTTCTTAGAGTGTAACTGTTAAAATATCAATTTTAATTAATTTGAAGCGTTTAATTGATAAATTTGGAATTTTCGGAAATAGTTAATAATACATTACGATACAAGGGACTTGAGTAGCTGATTATTCACTTGTGTGAAGTAAGCGCATGAGCGATGCGAATGCACTAATTTCACACGTTTTAATAATCGAAACGGGTAATTTTTGTATATATATATATATAATCGGAATCTCGGAAACGGCTCCAACGATTTTCATAAAATTTAGTGTCCCGGGAGTTTCGGGGGCTAAATCGATCTAGCTAGGATTTATTTTTAGAAAATGTCTTTTTGTCCGTGTTTTCAGGCAATGAAAAATTATAAAAATATAAGAAGGTAAATTTTACGCTTACCGCATTTACCGTGCAGTGGCGGTGTGAGAATGTCCACTGCCTCATATCATCCCCTGGCTGTCGTAAGAGGCGGCAGAGGGACACAAACCAGCACATGGCCAACAACATCTTCCCAGTAACGACTAAAAATGAAATATGGCAAAAACTATGGAAAATATCCCCTCCCCTCCCCCCCTAATGCAATCTATGGGGGAGGCCTGTGTTCAGCAGTGCACTTTAATAGGCTGTAACGCTAACGATAGTATTCTTGACTTCCTCGTAAGTTCAGTGATTGTAGTAGTGCGACTGCTGACCATGAGGTCCTGGGTTCGAATCCCGGGTCGGGCCAATAAAATTTTACTATTGAGTTTTTCCGTCAAGAAATTCTCAGTAGTTGCCGGAGTCAGGAAGTTGGCGGTGTCTCACCCCCGTGCCTCAGAAAGCACGTAAAGACGTTGGTCCTGCGCCTGGTCTCTCTCCGGTCGTGTAGTAGGTTTACCGTCCCATCGGATTATGAGAGTGAGAGGGAGTAGAGAGTGCACCTGTGCTTGCGCATACACTTGGGCACTATAATCCTGTCCTGCGCCGATGGCTAGCCTCCGCTGAGGCAGGCCGCCGTGGCCGAAATTTAGTCTGAAGGACATTATTATTATTCTTGACTTCAAATATAATGCTTTATGCAAGCCAAAATTAATGAAAAATTTGAATTTTACTTAGTGTTATGTAATTTACTAACATCGTAAGAAATATTGAATGATTTTTTTACCGTCTGGAAAAAATAGGGTGTACCAGGTGAATGGAATAGAAGCCTATGGCACTAATGTCTTACATTTTTGTTACATTAACATATTATGTAATTAATCTATCAATAAATACTACTTAGGTGCGAATTATTTTAATTTGGATAGTTTTCAATTGATTTATTTATTTAGTTAAAAATATTTGTTCTTATTTTTTAGTAGGTGCGGAAAGTTTATTTCAAATTAGTAGTATTTATTGATAGATCAATTTCATAAAAATATATTGATGTAAAAGCAAAAAAAAATGTTAAATATCAGTGCCTTAGGATTCTACTCCGTTCACCTGTAACACACGGCTGTTTCCAGACGGTAAAAACGGTAAATTCATCTATTATAGAATAATCAAACGCAACTTACGCAACCGGTGGTTCAGCCATGGCGAACGAGAACACACTTAATAAAAGGAATAACATCTGCAAGAAATAAAAGAAATGTTTTTACGTATTTTTATTACACAAGAAGCGGGGCAAACAAGCACACAGTCCACCTGATATGACCACCTGACATATGCAGATTCGTTGTGACTCCTGAGGATTGATATGAAATGCCTCGTATCCAGTAAAAAGGGTCTCTGAACTCTACACTTACCATACGAAACACAGCAGTATTCAGCTGCTATTTTACGCTGGTATTCTATGAGAGGGTGGTCCTTCCCCGGTCGCGCCGACCCATTCGTGCTACAACCATAATATAGCTGCAGCGTGGCTCTACCACATATGAGCTGACATTATAGCTGAAGTACAAACGGTTCAGCTTGACCAGGGAAATTTCACGTCCTAACAGAAAACCAGCGAAAAACAGCACCTGTATGCTGCTTTCGAATGTTTAGTTACTAGTACTAAAGTCCATTTTACTGGTAATATAAGTACCATCTTTATTCCTAACAGGGGCAAAGAATTTGTATATGGGCCACAGCATCCATCATCTAACAATCAGGTTAGACAGCGTACTTATTTGTTACCATCTTTTGTATAAAAAATGTACTTCTATGTTCGATAGTAGTATTGTTGCACTATAGGATGTCCTGCTTAGCTGAATTGGTACGCTGTAAATTCCGATCGCATTTGATTACGGACGAAAGTGGGCAAAGAGAACATACAACAGCGACAATGTGTACATCTCTACCCCAAATTATTAACATCCTAAATCAATGCGTTTAAAATTTATAATAATTAAATTATTATTAATTTTATATTAAAAAAATCTACCCACTTTTACACGTTAAAACTGAACTGTTCCAGATGAAACGAACCTGTTGAACACTTTATCAGAAACATCTTGCACTATTTATATTGATCGTTTGACTGAAGGAAAGCTCAACTGCATCATAGGCTATGTTTCACAACTACATTGCACCCAACATTCGACTCTATATCATTATAATAAGAACTGGTAAAGTCAGAGGAGGTGCAAATTCGTCCTATTGTTGATAAAAACCTTCATAGCATGCGTGTGACGACACCGAAGATCAAACTTGGACCATTACCAGTAACGTTCATGACTGAATTATATCAACTGATCAAGATTTATGGTTTTAGAATGTCCCGTTGAAGTCTTAATTCATAAATTAAATGAAGGTTTTAGTCAGTCTAGATGTTTGGAGAAAATAGGGTTATTCTAATTTACTAATCAGTTCCGAAACTCAACATTATTTAATATCTGTTAGTAAAGTAGCTACTGCAGCACATGTACATCTTTTGCTAATTGGTTGTGAAAAATAATTCTTATTTTCACACAAATATTTGAGAAATCCTTATTAACATAACATCTGTTATAAAAACAATTTAATTTAACATGTTATTAATGTTTAGATCTATGGTAGTAATTAGAAATTTAATAAGGTACGTAATATGGTCACCTGAAGCTTTGCCGTCCTATAAAACCAAAACTAAGACAGTCGTATACTTTAACGATATATTCGTTGTAGTTAGTCATTTAAAAAATGAATTTAAAAAATGTAGTGTATATAAATTGTATGTTTATCAAGATAAAAATAGATTTAATTATAAATGAATAGATAAAAACTAAAAAAAACATTAGGAACAAACAAAAACTAACTTTTTTAACTTTATTCCGAGGTCCCAGAAAAATATACAAGGTCTTTATTACCAAGTTTAATAGACAAAAAAGTTATAAATAGGGTTATTATTACGGGTTGCATGTGATTGATAACAGCTCCTGGGAATGAAGTGACCTCCAAGCTGTTACATAAATTAGTTTTGTAAGTAGTTTGTATAACCAGTGTTTTTTAATATATAATTTTACTTTGAAAAACATTTCCGCTAAGTTTCTCGCTGGTTTTTCCCAGGACGGAGATTTTTTCCGAACCAGTGATAAAATTAAAAAAAAAATACTTTTAATATGAATTATCTACTTGTGATCTATATTGAATGTAAAATGTAGTGCCGTTTCTATTCTCATATTACGTGCCAAGCGATAACAAGCAATATTGTTAGAACAAGACTAGTCTTGTTCTAACTGAAACTTAGAAGATTGATGTTTTAAATAATTAAGGTCGATTGTTTAAAGAAAAAAGTTATATATGAGATAAAATAAAACACAAATTAATTAAAATCACAGTTGTTTTGATAAAATATCAATTTAATATTCTGTCAGGTTTTAATTCATTTGAGTTTCCACATACAACTAACAGTGAGGGACCACATCTCGGATACGTAAGTCTACACTCTTGTTTTCAAATTTTGAAAAATACGTGACAAGAAAATGTATCGGCCTCTTCCGAACGCTGCTCAGCCGAGTTAAAATTGTCGATTGACCTCTTGATCGAATATGGACTTACCTGCACTTGGCACGTTAATGGCAACCAACAGGATATAAAAGAAGGTTCTCGAATGGCAGCCACGTACTTGTAAACTAAAGCGGTAAGAAATGCAGTAAGTTGGTGGATGCAGGTGATTTAGGCCCGTGTTTTGTGGCGGTTTTCTGGGAGGCCTATTTTCAACAGTGGACATGTGAAGGGTTGTAATGACAATGATGATAATTTATTTGAGCTATATTATTCAAATTCAAAAAAAACGTAAGTAATATTAGCGTTTCTTATAAAACAAACTCTACTATTTCAAAAAGAGAGACTGCATTTACGCACACAATGAAATAAAACAAAATCAGATCTCATTGCAAAGCTTCACAGGTACAAAAACGTTTACCTGGGACGTTCATTTTCAAGTGATTTTATTCAATTTCCCGCGCTTTATGAAAGGAATTCCTTTTTACCACTTTAGCCAGTTTGTGGAGCAGTCGTTGATTACAAACATTTTCTGTCTTCGGTGCGCTTCAAGTTTTTCATTTTCCAACAAAGGATGTCAATTTTAGTGTTATGCAAGAATCGGAAAATGTTTTAAAAATACTAATTTATTAAAAAAAAGATGTTTATCGCTAACAGAACACGCTCAATACTAACTTAAATTATATGCTTAAAACAAATGCACGAGAGCCCAAACAGGAACTCGGCAGTTTCAGTTTGTCCACTCAGCACATGTCTGTGGTCTACAACCAGAACATTCTGTTGATACGGACATCTTGGTGGGTCTCTCCACCCATAACGATACACGGTACTAACAACAAAAAAAAATTGTCTGTCAGTCTGATTGTTCCGGCTAGTCACCGAAACGGCTGGACCAATTTTGACGGGACTTTCACTGGCAGATAGCTGATTAAGTAATTAAGTTATAAGAAGTAACTTAGGCTACTGGCTACTAGCCCGAAGTTATGAAGTTGGCAACAGGCTTATGTTCAACAATGGACTGTAGTGAATGAATAAAAATGGCAAGAGCATTATTCATCTTATCTATATCAGAAGTATGCCTGGTTCATGGGTCTATTGGCTGTAACTGCCATTGTCGATTGTCCCCGTTCGAACCAATTATTGGGTTTTTCTTTTTTATAAATTCTCAGTGGCAGCCCGGCAGTTGGCGTTGTTTCAGCCCCGTGCCTCGGAGGGCAAGTCGTTCCTCCTACTCCTGACCTATCTCTGCTCGTCAAGGCTCGCTATCCCATCGGTCGATGACAGTGAGAGAACAGAGAGTGCACTTGTTCTTGCGCACTCACGCGTGAACTTTAATTCTATCCTGCGCAGATGGCAAGTCTTCGTTGATACTGTCCGCCTTGACCGTAATTCGGCTGAACAAGGGCAAAGCGTCGTAAGTTTCTTTTTTTTTTATAGAAGAAGGGGCAAACGAGCATGTGGCTCACCTGATGTTAAGTGACTACCGCCGCCCATGATCAACCGCAACACCAGGAGAATTGCGGGTGCGTTGCCGGCCCTTTAGAAAGGAGTAAGCTCTTTTCTTGAAGGTCCCCAGGTCGTATCGGTCCGGAAAAATCGCCGGCGGTAAACTATTCCACAGAGAAGTTGTACGTGGAAAAAAACTCCTTGTGAAACGTACAGTGGTGGACCGCCAAGCATCCAGATGGTGTGGATGGTATCGGGACGTTTGACGTGTAGACGTCTAGCAAATTATGAATAGTTACCACAATACAGTAAACGGATCATAGATTTGGTTTTTGTGGAAAATACTAAATGAGAAATAAGTTAAAAAGATTATGTATGTCTAGGTGTTCATTTGTTTTTCTTTCATTTAAGTTATTTTTGTTTATTAAGAGAAGAGTGTAGTTTGCAAGAAAATGTTGTGCATATTAATAAAAAATAAATGCTTTGGTGGTTTGAACTCGTAGAAAGAATGAATGAGGAAAAAGTGACAAAGCAAGTTTTTCGAACAAATTGGCGATATATAAAAGATAGGTGAAAGACACATGTGCACGAAGGTGCAGAGGGAGAAGTCCGCTTATGGGGCGGCGGATGTGTGTTTGCGCATTCCCGTGGCCCTGCCAGTCTGCGGCGAAGGTAGTACCTATAACACTTAAAACGGTGCAGAGTCCGACATAATCCGTCCTTGCCCCCGAAATGGGCATTTCCGCGTTTAAAAAAATGTATGCGTAGATTGTATAGATCTAAAAGAAGCGAAAGAGATGTGACATGATTGTGCCAAACGAAATTCTGTTTCTACCTTACTTATTCCTACCTATTTTCAGATTAAAAGTGGATTGAATTAAAAGAACAAAAAACAAAGTAAATATCAAAAAGCAAAAATTAACACGCTCATTTCGCAAAAATTCGGCAAATATTGTACAAACAACCTTTCGCTAACTTGCGCTCTTGAACCCCTGTTAGCTGACCTCGTCATAGAATAAAAATGAAGGAGATTGTACAAAGTAAATATTAGCTTTATAGCCCCTTATGGCCTTCTATCGGGCTTATAATAATAACGAACATATATGTATTTGAAAGAATATTTTTATATTTTACTGTAGTGATAAACCTACCTACCTGAACCTACCTGATGCTAAGTGGATACTG